ACCACTGTGTGAAAAAACATGATGTCAGAGCCCAGCCCTTCAGACATGCTCACAACTTCCTGGCTACCTCAGAGGGAACCCATTCAGACCCTCATGTCCAGCTGCCTCCCACTCTCCAGCATGCTTTTTCTGCCTGTCTTTGCTCATGGCACTCTGTGGTTCCCACCTTCACAGGTTCAAAGCCCCAGTCTTTCCTGAAGCCCACCAAGGCCCTGCCCCATGCCCCCTCTGCCTTTTGTATCCTCTCCCAACATGCCATACTCTGGCCTGCCTCAGGACCTTTGCACAGGCTGTGCCTCTTGTTGGATTTTTCATGTTCCAGGCTCAACTTAGATGCCACCTCCTCAAGGGAGCCCATTGTGACTGCACCATCTGACATAGCCGTGCCCTTCTCACTGCACAGCAGCACCAAATGTCAACTGACGTCTCCCCTCCCTGCAGTAGGACTTTTGCAAGCACATGACCTTTTTTATTTATTTGTTTATTTATTTATTTGCACATGACTGTCTTAAAAAAGAAATTTGCCTACTTCATGCCCAGAACTTTATTACTGATTTCTGGATTTTGGGACTTGGTTTTCTTTTTTTCTTTTTTCTTTTTGAGACAGGGTTTCTCTGTGTAGTTTGGAGCCTGTCCTGGAATTAGCTTTGTAGATTAGGCTGGACTGGAACTCACAGAGATCTGCCTGCCTCTGCATCCCAAATTCTGGGACTAAAGGCGTGTGCCAGCACCGCCCAGCTCTTAGTACTTTCTTAGGATTGAGCTCAGGTTGTTTGACTTTGCAGCAAGTGTCTTCATAAATTGACTCATATCTTCAGCCGTGATTTTAGCCTTAAAACATTTGTTTTCCAAGACAGGGTTTCTCTATGTAGTCCTGGAACTCATCCTGTAGACCAGGCTGGCCTTGGAACTCACAGAGATCCACCTGCTTCTCCCTCCCAAGAGCAGGAATTAAAGGCCTACATCACCACAACCAGGCTAAACAGTCATTCTTAATTGTGTGTATATGTATACACATGAGTGCAGTCTCCATGGAAGCCAGAAGAGGTGACCAATGGGGAGCTGGGTCGCCTGCACGAGCAAGCAGGTGCCCTTAACCACTGAGCTGGCTCTCTGTCCCCAACCCATCCCCTTCCTCCCCAGCCTATGGAGCCCTATGCAGTTGATCCTCTCACTCGCTCATTGACCAGCTGGAGGCACCTACCTGGTGAACACCTGAGGTTGTTCTTAGGCCCACATGCTGTCTTTGTCTCCTGTGAACATGGTAAGAGACTCATGGCAGCAGCAACTCAAGGGAGCTCACAACTCCAGAGGATGGTGCTTTCCTTTGTGGCAGAGAGTCCAGGCTGCACACAAGCCCTTCACTCTGCCCCATGTCTTCAGGCCTGCAGTCTGGGGTACTAGCCAGGACGGTGCCCCCAACCCCCTAGTTAAGAGGCATTTCCCCACATCCTTTAGCATAAGTAAGAGACTTCTCCCACAAGCAACCCCAGAGTCCTATGTCTCAGGTGATTCTAGATTCTGCCAGTTAACCACTAACACTGGTTGTTACTTCATAAGAAAGTGAGTGGAGCACTGGCCTAGTGTCCCCAAGGTACTGGAGCATGGATGGGATAAGCCAGCTGTGGCGGTCCAGGCCTTTAACACTGACAGGACTGTCAGGAGCGCAAGGCCATCCTTGGCTACATAGTGAGCTCAGGCAATCCTGGGCTACATTAGTTCTGTCTTAGAGAGAGAGAGAGAGAGAGAGAGAGAGAGAGAGAGAGAGAGAGAGAGAGAGAGAGACAGAGAGAGAGAGAGACAGAGAGAGAGAGGGAGGGAGGAGAGAAGAGAAGAGAAGAGAAGAGAAGAGAAGAGAAGAGAAGAGAAGAGAAGAGAAGAGAAGAGAAGAGAAGAGAAGAGAAGGAAAAGGCAAGGCAAAACAGGGAGGCTCGGTGATGTTTCCAGGAGTACAGGCCCTTCCTGGCAGGCCTTCTGACCACAGCCAAAACAGCCCCTCCTGGGAACATGGCCTTTGTCCCAGCAGTTTGCACACTCATGATGCTATTTCCGGTCCTGTTGTGAGAGCCCCCGCTCATCCCACAGGCCTCCGAATTCTCTGCACAAACCCAGATCACTTTTTATGTCTAGACAGCAAACACTAGGCCTCGGTGTGACCCAGTTCTGACTCAAGGAGCAATCGGGCAATCTCAGACTGGCTGGGCAGACTGGGAGGGGGAGTGGCTGGGAGCAGATGCCCGCCTGCTGGCTGAAGCCCGATCCCCAGGTCCTGCGCATGTCGCGCTTTTGGCACCAGATATCGCGTGGGAAATAAGATCCCAGGACACAATATAGGCTGATGGATGTTTATTTGGGGAGAAATCACTTATACCAGAAGCAGGTGACTGCTCCAAGGATGCCCCCAGATGCTCTCTGTCTCTGACCAGGAAGGAAGGGAGAGAGCTGGGGTTCCAGACATAGCACCATGGTTAAATCCACACCTGTCCCCATGCCCCAATGGGCGTGGTCAGTACAACAGATGCCAGCGGGGTGAATATCTCACTACACTCCTGCATACAGAGCCTCTCTGGGTTTTTGTTTTTTGAGACGGTCTCACCATGTAGCCCCAGCTGTCCTGGAGCTCACTCTGTTGACCAGGCTGGCCTAGAATACACAGATACCTGCCTGCCCCTGCAAAATTTGTACTTTTATGGGTTTTGCCTGTGTCTTGTCTGTGTACCTTGTGTTTGCCTGGTGCCCTTAGAGGGACCGGAGTTACACTGTTGGGCCGTCATGTGGGTGCTAGGAATTAAACCCTGGTCCTCTGGAAGAGCAGCCAGTGCTCTCTCCAGCCCCTGTCGCAAACCCATATAGCTCAAGCTAGCCTCAAACTCACTACATAGCCCTGGATGATCCTGAACTACTGACTGATATTCCTGCCTCTACCTCCTCAGTATTGGGGTGACAAGTGTGCACAACCTTAGCGATATCAGGGACTCAGGGATGATGCTGCACTCTGCCCACTGAACCACAGCCATAGCCAGGAAGCTAATTCAAGTATGCACCTAATAAAGTTATTTACGTGTGTGTGTGTGTGTGTGTGTGTGTGCATGAATGTAGGACTTGGAGCACTATGGGGGTCAGAAGACAACTATGGAGGTCAGTTTTATTTTCTTCCACCCTGTAGATTCTGCAGATCAAACTCATGCTTGTCAATAAGATATTTTACCTGCTGAACCATCTTGCCGGCTCTTCATGGTTGATATTTAAAATATTATATGTATAGCATATGTCAGGGTGGGATATAGTATATAGAGATATCAGTGGTGCATGCTGGCCTGTCGTCAGAAAGCCCTGGATTCATCCCCAGCATCGCAGGGGAAAGAAAGAAAGAAAGAAAGAAAGAAAGAAAGAAAGAAAGAAAGGAAGGAAGGAAGGAAGGAAGGAAGGAAGGAAGGAAGAAAGAAAGAAACAAAAATACTTATTGCAAGTGTTCTCTCCCCCTCCCTTTCCGGAAGCTGCGCGCGCAGAGAACTTCTGAAGCCGCCAGGTGTCGCCGGCGCGCCTCTCACGCCAGGGACATTTTGCGCGCTCGGTGGGCGGCGCGGAGGAGGCGCGATGCGTCACTGGACCCGGGGGCCGGGGATCCGGGGGAACCTAGCTGCGCGGCCAGGCCCCAGGCTGGCGGAGGAGGGGACGCAGTGTGAGTCACCGGGAGCCCCTGTGCGCCGTGGGAGAGTCCCACGCGGAATCTGCCCGCCCGCCTAGTGTCCTCGTTGTCTGGCTTCCCTACCAATAACCATGTTGTAGCTCTGAAGAGAACGCCATCAGAAGCCTCAGTTTCTCTTTTGCATAATGCAGCTATCAGTCTCTTTGCTTGCCAAATGTTGGACAAGATTAGTGGCACGCGTGGCAAAAGGGGCCTGCGACTCGTGTTGCGCACTGCAAAAATGCCAGGGATAAAAGAGTGGCTGCCATCCAGCCACCCTGTCCCAGGAGGCAGCATACTTTCGCTTTGCCTCGGTTTCCCTCGCAGGAGTCAGGTGTCGGGATGCGGTCACAGGCTAGACTTAGAGGCAGCCGGCAGGGGGCGAAGCCGCACTGCAGAGCTTCTGCAGTGCATCTTCACCTGTGCCTCCCACGCGTACCCCACCCTGAAACTCTCCGAGTGCCAGGAGAAAGGTTTCCTTATCTCTTCCCCAGTGATCCCTTAGTGCTCTGTAACTCTGACCTCCGGTCCTCTAAGCCACCTACCAAGATCTCCAGGTAGTGGTAGCTTCTTGGGTGACCCCTCCCCACCCCCTGCGAGAGGGGGCTGTGCATTCTCAAAGCACGGTGGTGCCTTGTAGGGTGCCTTGTAGCTCTCTTTGGGGTGAGAATCCCAGCGTCCTTACTAAGCGCTTATTGTATACCCTGGACGTGATTTAGATCACTTTCCAACCTTACAAGGCCGGGGTTGCATTGGCATGAGTTCAGTTACGCAAGGCCCAGGGTGTCCAAAAACCCCCCTCACACACACACACACACAAAAACTTGCCGTCCTGGGAGGGACTGGGCTACATCCTGGGGCCTCCGGCCCTTGCACAGTCCTTCCTAGAGCAGAGCCTGGGAAAGGCTGGGGGACTCTCCGGGGACAGGGAGGGGATTCCAGACAGCCCTCCCCGAAAGTCCAGGCCAGACTCGCGCGCTGGAAACCCCGCGCGCGGCCTGCGTAGCGCGGCTGCCGGGAAATCAGAAGAGAAACTTCTGTTTTTTTGTGTGTGTGTCTGTGTGTGTGGTTTTTTTTTTTTTTTTTTTTTTCTCGCGCTTTTTGGCACTCACGGCTGCTCGGATTTGTGCTCCTCCCAGCCCTGACTCCCACGTGGGGCAGACGGCTCTTGAGCTCCGCCCTTTCAACTACCAGCCAATTGCAGTGCGGTCCACTCAGCTCTTTGTGTATGCACCAATGGGAGGACGGCTTAGGCCTCCCTAGGCCACGCTCCCACACGGAGAGTTTATATAAAGCGGCTCCCGGCGGCCGCGCGCTCACTCCGTTGCAGCTTGGTACCTGTATGCATTCTTGGTTCTTGGATTAATTTTTGTGGGGATTTTGCAATCTTTTTTTCTCTCTTGCCCTTTTCTTGGGAAGGGAAGTCCCGCCGCCTCCGGAAGACTTTGGAAGCTTCTGATCGTACGGGAAGGTGTTTTTCCCCTTCGGTTGGATCTGGGCGCATACTTTGCCTTTGGGGACCTTCCGTGGGGGTCCGTTGTGGAGTGCGGCTGCATCATGACGCTGGAAGAACTGGTGGCGAGCGACAACGCGGCTCAGAAGTGAGTACAGCGGAACCGGAGTTCTCTCCCGCCGCTTGAGGTTGGCCGAGCTGTCATCGGCTAATCGCCTCCTCTCTTTTGGCCTCTTAGAATGCAGGCAGTGACCGCCGCGGTGGAGCAGCTGCTGGTGGCCGCGCAGCGTCAGGATCGCCTCACTGTGGGGGTGTACGAGGCGGCCAAACTGATGAATGTGTGAGTCAGCACCCCCCTTTCCCGGGCGTAGGTGGGGGCGCCCCTCTGATGCACACGCACTCCCATCACCCCTGTAGGGCACAGGTCTTGGGGGACTTTCCCAGTGCTCTCGCTATTGAGGAGTGAAGGGAGACATTTCTCTAAGAACTTATTTTTTGGGGGACAGAGACTCGCTGCAGAACTCTGACATTGCAAGTTTGAGGGTTTTTGTTTTGTTTTGGCAAGGTAACCTCATTAACTTTGAGCCCTGTGCCCCCTCCCCCATCACCATCAGGATTTGCATAGTTGGCCACCCCAGCATGCGTGCAGCGCTGGGGGGGGGGCTTGTTTCTTGCACAGTGGGTCTTGTCCACCCCTCTCCCACCTGCGATCACAGAGCTCGTGCACGGCGCCATCCCTCCAGCTCTGACCTCCCCCTGACACCCCTTTTCTCCTGTAGGGACCCTGACAGCGTGGTCCTGTGCCTCCTGGCTATAGACGAAGAGGAGGAAGATGACATTGCCCTGCAGATCCACTTCACCCTGATCCAGTCGTTCTGCTGTGACAATGACATTGACATCGTGCGGGTATCCGGCATGCAGAGGCTGGCACAGCTCCTGGGTGAGCCCGTAGAAACACTGGGCACCACTGAGGCCCGAGACCTGCACTGCCTCCTGGTCACGGTGAGTCTGGTCTCTCTCACCCTGCCCCACCCTGCCCTCCCTGGGTACCTAGATCCCGTGTTTGTCAACATAGCTGGGCTGGCTGGTCCAACTCCAGCTCACTGTCCAGCCACGCTAGGCATGTCCCGTGGGCTGCCTCATCACCCTGGCAGCTATTTTGAGCCAGCCTGTTTTTCACCAAAGGGGCCCCTGGGCGCCAGGGAAGGCTCCCTATCGAACTCCTAGAGCTCCCACTAACCCCTTCCTTTTTGTCCCTCTCCACAGAACTGTCACACAGATACCTGGAAAAGCCAAGGCTTGGTGGAGGTGGCCAGTTACTGTGAGGAGAGCAGAGGCAATAACCAATGGGTCCCTTATATCTCTCTGGAGGAACGCTGACACCCTCTACAAACATCTAAAGCAACTGTTGAGTTGCTGTCCCGTAAAAAAATTAAATAAAATACATATTTGACCCCTCCCCCCTCATCCCCAAGAACAATCCCTCAAAAGCCTCCCTACCCGTGAGACCTTCCGGGAGGGGCGGAGTCACTGAGACTGAGATGTGAGGGGAGTGTGCGCCCGCCGGCTCTCAGGGCGGTGGAACCAGGAGCAGCACCGCAGGTGGTCGCCGAGACAGGAAGGAGGGGAGCCCAGGCCGGAGAAGGAGACTGGGACATTGGAGCCCAGGCCTGGAGATCCTGCAGCCAGGCTCCGCACCCAGCCGCAGCCGGGAGCGCGGAGGGTCTGGACTGACGCCGCAGGGAGGGGTGAGGCGTCCCCGATGCTGCGGGACAGTGAACTGTGCACAGCGGAAGGAAGCGACCGTAGCCGTGGGAGCCGGGACGAACCCGGGACTGCGACTCTGACACAAATCTATTTTGTTGTTGTGCTGAGCAAGACAGGTCGCTTGCGTATTTTTTTAAGTTTCTACAGAGACATTCTAATAAACTCGTTAAGCCTCCAGGTTCTGTTGTGTTTGCCTCCTTCGCCCCAGGTCGTGCCGCGGCCACCCAGTCTCGGCTGGAGCTTTAAGTCCAAAGCTCTAGACACTGCTGCTCTGCCGCAGGCGCCACCACCCAACTCCTGCTTCACAGCAATTAAGAGGCGGGTTTATTACGAAACCTGGAGGCCTAGCCCCCCTGTTACCCGCTGTGCTGGAGCCTGATCCCTGGGGTCAGCGCATCGAGCAAGTGACTGCAATTCCCCCTCCCACCTGAAGGTCCAGATCGGAGAGGTCGAGAGGGCCCCTGAGGCCACACAGCAGGGGGCCTTTGTGGGTTGGGATTCCCGACTTCTCCTTGGGACGCACCCTTTTTCTCACGCACTCAAACTCTCCTTCCTGGGATGGGCCTAGAGGATGCACAAAAGGAAAAGAATGTTTTTTTTCATTCTTTCCCCGAGCTAAAATCAACAGTAGAAAAACACCCTGGAAGCCTTGGCACCCTCTGCATCTCACCCCAAACCGAAACCGCACACTCCCTCCCAGGGCTCTCCTGCCCCGCCGGCCTCAGTTTACCTAATCCCAGCAGCCGCGACCTTTCCACAGAGCCCCTGGTGGGCGGAGGAAATCCCCGGGGGCGCCCTGGGAGTCACGCGCAGGAGGCAGAGCACCGAAGAGGAGAGTCCCCAGGGGTGGGGGAGGGGAAGGGTACCTAGAAGCAGGGCTTGTGGGAGGGGATGTCCCAAGCTGAGGTGTTGGGCTTCCAAGAGCACTGGCGAGTGGCCCAGGGGATGACAGGGGTTTGAGGAGGTGGACGGAGGTGGGGAGTTGTAGGAGTTAGTTTCAATAGTCTTTGAATGAGACCCAGGAGAGGAAGGTCACCATGGAGGGGGCCACCCAGGGGCATTGGGGTGGGACAGTGAACAGATTGGAGCTGGAAGGGTAGGTGGGAGATGGGGCCTCTGAGGGCCAGGGAACCAGGGGACAGGGGAGTGCACAGGGTGAGGCTTCCCTGGTGGTTAAGGTAAGGAATATTGAGGGAGGGGAGAGAAAGTCTCTGTCTTCAGGCAGTGTGGCTCCAGGCATATCTATGCTGGCTCTGCCCTTAGGGCTTGTAACCTGCTGTCCCTTCAGTGACCTGGCCACCTCTGGTCCCCTACCCACAAGACAAACAAGAGTGGTTTGGGGGGAAGAGTACTACTGTACTCCCAAGCCAGGACCAATGCTTTCTGGCCTTGACTCCGTTTCCCCCCTCTGATAAATGTCCTCCATTCCAAGGTTCTGAGGTCTTCCTGGCGCAGAACCCTTTTGAATACCTGGCTCCCTGACTCAGCCATAGCAGCCTAGCATTTTCGTTCCACACTCACAACTGCTCCAGCCTCATTTTCCCCCAGAAAAAGAGACTGAAGCTCAGAGCAGAGAAGTCACAACCTGGCTTGGAGTCTGGAATTTTGAGTGGATGAGGGTAAACTAGGCAGCTAAGGGGAGACTGAACCATCCCATCAGCAGGGAGAAACTGTCCCAGGTCACCGAGCTTTGGCCCTGTCTAATAGGGACGCCATCGTGTGCCAGGAAACGTGGGTGTGTCCCTTGGACGTTAAGCAGGAAAAACTTGGCAATGCAGGCTGCAGGCAGATGGGCGTGGCACACGCGCACGTTTGCATACCCAGTGGCCCAGTACGAAGTTATAAGAACACCAACCCCTGCACCTGGCTACTTCCTGTTCCTCTCTGAGCTGGCTCTCCTGTGTAACATGTAGCCTGATGAAGGACTTGTAAAAACAGGTGTATGTTCATGTTAGATGACTTCCCTTGGACAGATGCATGGTGACAGTGGACACTTTGCCTAGCTCAATAAACAAGAAATGAAGTTCTAGCTCTTTCCCTGAACCCCGCTTCCCAGGCACAGGTGGTGATGGCTGTGTGAGCCTGTTCAGTTGTATTGAAGGACCAGGCTGGGGCAGGTGCAGGATGCATCAAATACATAGAAATGTTAGGGGGAATGATGTGAGACAGCTGCTTTAATGTTTTATTTATTTTTCAGTGTGAAGGATCCGAGGTGGGGGTGGTAATCCGGTAGAAGGAGAGGAATTCGGGGCCTGAAAGTGATCTACTACCCCGGTTTCACCAGGACCACGTCCCCAGCCCCTCCCTGGGGGATTCTAGGCGGGGCTCCACCTCTGACCACGCCTCCAGCGACTGCTCACCGCTCACCACTCACTCACTGCTCAGGACATCCCCCAAGGAGGCCATGATTAGTTTCCCTGTTTCACAGAGAAACAATCCAAGGAGGTGGAGCCACCTGCCCAAGGTCCCGTGACTGGACACCTTCACAGGACAAGGTTCTCTAAGCTGAGTGGTGTCACAAGAGTTGGCAAGGACACAACATGCTTCAGGCTAACATGAATCCCCTAGGGACAAAACAGTCTGTCCTGAGGCTGGGACACAGAAAGTCACCTATGTGTCAAACTCTCCTTTGATGTGACTTGATTCTTTGTGTCACCTGCATTTATTTTATGTAGCTCTGACTATGCCAGGCCCTTTCCTGCTCTTCTGAGACTGTGCAGTTAGCACAGAGGCCACAAGAAGCATCAGGACTCAGTATGTCATTTTCAGCTTTCAAGTGCTGAGTGGGGGGAGGGGACATGGTTAGAGAGGGGGGTGGGCCTCAGCCAAAGGCTATTGGGTGTCTCAGCGCCAATAAAATCTGTCTAGAACCTGGTTGGAATGCACACCACAGGTGTTCCTGGTACCCTGGTTGTGAGCTACCCTGTGCTTGCTGGGAACTGATCCCGGTCCTCAGCAAGAACAGTCAGTGCTCTTAACCTGGGAGCCATCTCTCTAGCCCTTCATTTTGTATTTGAGACAGGGTTTCTCTGTGTATCCCTGGCTGGCTTAGAACCTGCTCTATAGACCACCAGGCTGGCCTCCACCTCAAAGGGCCCCAGTGCTGGCATGGCACACTGGTGCCATCATAACTAGCTTTTTACTTTTCCTTAAATTTTTTTATTTTATTCGTTTTTTGCTTGTGGAGTTCAGAGGACAACTTGGGGGTGGGGGAGTTGATTCCCTGTGGGTCCTGGTATTGAACTCAGGTCCTCAGACTTGGCTGCGAGACCCTTTACCCTCTGAGCTCTGTCTCCCTTGCTGCCTTTTGTTTTTAATGGCTGTGTCTCACTCTGAGGTCCTGACAAGCCTGCAAGTCCCTGTAGATCCTGGGATTGCAGGCCTGTGTGTCACCACGCCCCAGACAGTTCTGACCTTTCTTCCGTCTGGGCTCTGGAAACCTCATCCTGGGCCCCACCCAGTCCACGAAGGGGGTCAGTTCTCTCCTAGCTCCTCACCACTAGGGCACCTCATTGTTCATCCCTAGGGGATTGCCAGCCCTGGAGCACGAAGCAGAAGAACTGAGAGAGAGAGATATGGACCAGTTGGAGTCCCACCCCGCCCAAAGCCATATCAGAAAGACTCCCCACAAACTCTGCAACCCATGAGCCCTTCCAAAGACCCAAAACAACCTCTCCCCAAAATCCATGGCATAGAACCTGAAAGCCGGTCCTCCACCGGGGACCAAGAAGACTTGGTTTGGCCCCTCCATCAACATCTGCAGAACTCACAGGGGGGTTTCCTCTCTCGCTGTCGCTATTCTTTTCCTACACTGTTCCCACCCCACCCCCTAACATACTCTGCGATTCCCAGGACCCTGGGAGTGGGTGGAGTCAGCAGCTTCCGGGGGCAGAAACCAAGACCCTCCGTGCTCTGGTGGAGTGCGCTCTCCAAGGTCGAGCACACAGGCTCGCAAATAGGAGGACAAACGGAATCACGGGCCGTACGAGTGCGTGGGCGTGACGTTTATGACCGTGTACACAGCAGGCGAGCCCTAAATGCTGCTCTTTCTGGCTCCAAGCCGGTGTGGAAGGCCCCAACTCAGCAGCCCCTTCAGGGAAAGGTGAAGATCAAGATTGACTCTTGCCTCACACTGGCGGGTTACTAGAGCCAGGAGAGCCCAGCCAGCTGTGACTCAGTTTCCCCACCCCTAAAAGGGAAAGTGTAAGAGCCCTCCCACGTGGTCAGGTGAACTCCATGGGTTGCAGAGAGCTCAGCAAAAAGCGAGTTGCTTCCAGAACCCTCATTACGGCTTGTAGTCACCCCACCCTCTCTCCAGACACTCTGGGGGTGGTGTGGGGCTCTGACCCAGACCCCAGACGCCCCTCCCGCCCTCATCAGCAGGCAGGAGTCCCGGGTTCCCTGGTCCTTAAATTGGATAATTGGAGACAGAGGCGGTTGTTGGAGTCACAGACAGTGCTAGTGGGCGACTGTGCTGGCGCTTGGCCCCCTCAGACTCCCCAACCTGGGGTCACCCCGACCCTTTCCAGCGCCCGTCTTGGGTGCACCCTAGGCGCACGCCGCCGACCCCCTCCAGAGAGCGCCGGTGCCAGCCTTGCCCGCCAGACCGAGTGTCTGCGGCCCACGGGGGTGGGGGGTCCGCCCTGGCGGCGGGAGGGCGGGGCGTCCGCACAGACCCTCCCTTTGTGAGCGGCGCCTTCCCTGAGCCGCCTGGCGCTCAAGGCCGGGCAGGAAGCCAGCTCAGGAACTGCCTTGGGCCGCGTACACTGGCCCTAGCGGCTTGGCCTGCCCCGCGGGAGTCCCGGAGAGCCTACTGTGTGCAGCCCCTGAGGTGGTGCAGAACCTACTGTGTGCAGTCCCCAAAGCATGCAAAGTGCAAAACCTACTGTGTACAATCCCAGTATTCATGCATAACCTACTGAGTGCATGCAGAGTGCAAAAATCTACTCTGTGCAATCTTTGACCAAATGCAGGGCCTAATAAGTGCAACCCCTGGATGCTTGCTGAACCTACTGTGTTTAGCTCCTGAGAATGTTTAAAGTGACAAACCCTAGTACTGCCGCCCCCCAAGGTAGGTGTGCAGTTTACTGTGTTCAGCTCCTGGATTCCTGAAAAAAACCTATGTATAGCCCCCCTGAGCATTGCAGAATCTACTGTTTGCAGTCCCTGAGCACA